TGGCATCGACTTAATGGTAGTGAGGGAGTGAGATATATCCCATTAATAAACTTGTATCTATTTCCTTCCTTTACTTAAAATGATAACATAAGAATGAGCCAATGCCATCTGAAATTGTTCAACATAACTATTAATATTTAAAGCTACTCCATACATACAATGATAGACCAGTAATTATTACTTTATACCTTTCATCACATAACAAGTGGATTCAACTGATAAATAGCACGTTCTTCCTATGCATGTCAATCTTCTCTTGCAGTCAGCATTGCCCTTGGGAGGAGAGAAAAAGCATGACTAACTTAATTACAATGAGTGGATTTCTTCTCGTGACTTTTTCTGGCAATCCTGAGATAGAAATTTTACAGGGTTCTGTTTTTTTTAGTCTTCTACTTGGTGGTTTTAACTGGCAATATGCTCATTATCACTGCGATTTCCATAGATCGTAGTCTCCACTCACCTATGTATTTCCTCCTGAAGCACCTCTCCTTTTTGGATCTGTGCTACATTACTGCGAGTATACCAAGATCCATTTGTAATTCTTTCATGCACAGTGGCTCTATTTCCCTCTGGGAGTGCATCCTGCAGTGTTTTGCACTTACTTTCTCTGGTTGTGCTGAGATAGCCATGCTCATAGTGATGTCCTATGACACCTACATGGCCATTTGCTTTCCACTGAGCTATGAAATCATCATGGACACCAGAACCTGTGTTCACGGACTCTTAGCTGCCTGGACCAGTGGGCTTATCTCTGGGGTCATGCATATGGCTGCTACTTTCTCCATACACTTCTGTGGTCCCAATGTCATTCACCAGTTCTTCTGCAATATCCCACAACTCTTGAAACTCTCTTGCTCAAATGACTACATCCCGGAGCTTGGAGTAGTAGCCTTCTTGTCCTTGGTGGAATTTCTTTGTTCCATCTCCATTGCACTCTCCTACACACACATATTCTCTACTGTGCTCAGAATGCCATCAGCTGAGGGGAGAGCAAAAGCCTTTTCGACTTGCCTACCCCATCTCTGTGTGGTCATATTATTTATCTCTACTGGGCTCTTTGAGTTTCTAAGACCACCTTCTGATTCTCCAACTGTGATGGACTTTTTACTTACTGTTCTTTATACAATTGTGCC